TTATTTTTATCTAAAAAACAGGAAAACATGGGAGAAGTATTGTTAGGTAAAAGAGGTAGAGAACAGAATGTGAAAGAGAAAATGTTAAAAAACATCCTTAAAACAAGCAACAGATTTTATTTAAGTTCAAACATCCCATAAATAAGTTGTGCCTCGCATTCTCAGGTGCTGCTTTGATTTGAAAGAGAGATAAATATTCTAATATTCAGCACGCTGCTGTCTGAACTGCTAATAAATTGCCAAAGTGGCATAGCAGGGAAAAGACAACAAGTCATGATGATCAACAGTTCTAAAACTAATACCATCTTATCAGATCAGTTCAGAGAAATGAGATTATGTTTTTCATTACTTCTTTATGAAATTCCTTCTTTAGATAACTGAAGTCCAAAGTACTGTCTAACATTTAAAAGGAGGCTGATTTTTTTATAGTGGGCATGATGGGAAATAGAGTCTTAAATTTACTAATTATAGTTTATTATTGCATTTGCACCCTTTATGACAGGGGTCCCCAACCACCGGGCTCCGGACTGGTACCGGTCCGTGGATCATTTTGTACCGGGCTGCAAAGAATGAAAGTAGAGAAAGCTTGAGAAAGTGCTTCCGGGTGAGGTTGTCGGTCGTTGGTTGGAAAGCGGCGTTTGGGTGCTGAAGGAATCCTCGCGCCTTAGTTTCGTCGAAGAGGGGGGGGCGGCTTCGAACGAAGAGCCATCCCGATGGCGGTGGAGTCTCGCGTTACTCAGGAGGAGATTAAGAAAGAGCCCGAAAAGCCCATCGACCGCGAGAAGGTACAAAGGAGGAGTTGAAGGTGGCGGGGAGAAGCGGGGGACGGCTGGCTGGCCGGTCGCTCGGCTCACCTTGCCTTGGTCGTGCGTGCTGATGCCGGTACCGGTCCGTGGATCGGTCCGTGGATTGTACTGGTCTGTGGTACAAAAAAGGTTGGGGACCACTGCTTTATGATATAAAGATCTGCAAACTTCAATAAATTAAGTTTTCTGGGATGGGACAATAGCTTGGTAGAGAAAAGTTACATTCTCTATCTTCTTAAGAATTTCCTGCTAAATATACATCTATTATAAGCATCCTTCTCCAAGTAGGAAAGAGGTGCTAAAGGTTCTTTAAAATGGGTACCTATTTAGAATGGAATGTATACTAGAGACAGAAAGAGGTTCTCATTTTTTTACTTTTGCTATAAACATGATAAAATTCATGTTAGATAACAAGGATCTAAAACAGCTGAACTATATATCTCACCCATTCTAGTATGACCAATGGTAAGGAAGTTTTGGAACTGTAGTTCAGCAATAACCAGAAGACCAACTGTCTCTTCCTTATATTTTCCTGCAATTTCAGAAAAAGTTCAATGGTCTTTGAAAATGGAAAAGGAGTTTATGCTCTTGAGAAAGAACTTAATATATGAAAGGAATCCAGCAAGCCAAATAAGCATGATTACAAGGCATATGCAAAGCAATTTCATTTCTAGGGCTATTTTGTTGGTTTGAAAAATCAAAACCCTCAGTTTTAATTGATCAAATCATAAGGGTACAATCTTGCAAACTTTAATCCTATTGCTAGCAAAATACAATTTCTTATGAGGATATTGTGAAATGACTGCTAATGCTACTCTGGTCTAAGATGAACAAATTGCGTGGTCACACAGAATTTTTAAAAAGCATTGGATACAATTATGCAGTCAGCTGCAAACATACAATAAATCAAAATAATATATGTACATATGAAATCAAGATTTGCAGTAAAATCAACAATGCAATTTTTCCTACCTAGCATCTTTCTGTGGCCACCAGATATATTTAAGTGATAATATTTACATATTCAAAATATGCACCTGAAATATTTAATGCCCCAATATTGCATGCACCAATAGAGTAAGCATACTACGGCAAATAGAAATATCTTGGCCTCCTTGGATAATCTTGGAAGTTAAGCAAGTTTGGACCTAATTAAATGCATGGAATTTCAGGACTAAGCTAGGCTAAGCTGGGAAATTGAAAGTAAGAAAGAAATTTCAGAAGGTGATTGGAAATTATTCCCATAACAAAATATGTGCATGGAAATATTAAAATGTGTCTTAACCTAAAAAAGAAAACACAAGCACAAAGATCAAGTTCTTGTCTTCAGGATCTTTGGAATAATGTTTTATATGAGGGATGTAACATAAATATTTTTCAATTTATTATTGTTTGTATTGTTAGAGATCCAGAGTCACGTTAGCTGGGTCACTATATAATTATAGACCATGGGACCAATCATTTGGCTTGCCTAGGCCACATTGAGTGAAGAGAAATTGTATGTATGTATGATGTATGTATCTGTACACCTCCCCACACACAAATCACATAATAATGTTAAAAGTTTATGATGTGTGGGGCTGTATTATTAGCTGTCCAGAGCCATACAAGGCTTATGGACTACAGGTTGGTCATGCCTGATGTAGACCATAAATCATTAATATCAGCAAACATAATAAACAAAAAAATATAGAGAACAGAGATGAAAAAGGCAAGACTAACTCCCCACAAGAATAATTTCTTTAATGCCTTACTTTATAGCCCCCCTAATTATTTCATTCTTGCTTTGCTCAGTTGTAAGTATTGAGAATGATGTTATGTGTCTTAAATGAGAGGAAGAAGCAGCATTTGACCAAATTAAAATTGGTAATCTGATTATTAACTAAAAAATTTAATGGATGCTGGGATATTGCTGACATTAATTAACAAGATGCTTCTTAGCTATTCCTGCCATCATAAATCATCCCATCCATCTAATATATAAAGGGTTGCAATCTGGCTAAATAAATTAAAGGTTGCCATATTAAAGTTTAAAAAAAAACATTTGTTAAGATTTAACAAATAATACCAATAATTAATATTAAATTGATAATGTTAAATTATTCATTTAGTATTCAAGGTTGTTCTGTAACATCCTGAAATTTGGTTTAATATAGCACACTTAACATATGTTAAGTCTCTCAAGGAAATTGCATAGAAAGAAGTGTCTGGTTACAGAAGCAGCTAACAATAGTCTAAACTTGTTGACTAAGTGGCAAGTTCTATTCCAAGAAAATAATCTGTATCTTGCCAGCATGAGAGATTGAGTGCATGTTTTAACACACTGCAGGCAACCATAATTAGCAAATGATCACTTTATGTATTTGTTGCATAGAATGCATCAGCTTGACCTGATTTCCTGTTGGTCTCTTGCCAGTGTGCATAGCAGAGGATATGCCAGCAAATTAAATTCTCCTGATTTCATGAGCAAAGTGAACAGTGACAATGATATAATGATACAAAGGCATGCAGAAAAATATCACAAATCCTGCTGTTTGTAGAGATTAGTGTTGTAGTTCCTTTTCTCTGTCCGTATCTGTTAAAAAATGAACATAATTTAGAAATGGGTTTTAAACATTTGAATTTGTAGAAATGAACACACAATGAAAGGTTTTTAACAGATGGGTTTCAGTTGCCTTCAATATTTAATTTGCATCAAATGATGTCTATGCCATAATAAATAGGCCTATCCTGGTACCAGTAATTTAAATGAAATTTCCCCTGGCGTAAGTGATAAAAAGTTCCATCTGCCAATTCTCTGGGTATCCTGCTACAATTAAATGCTTAGAAACAGGCCAGCAGAAAAAACTGGCAATCTTACTTGGATAGAATTCTCCAGATATGCTTCTAACACATTTGAGTAAACAGTGGGTATCAATAATATGCATACTCCTGAAACTGGATTTGCATTCCTCTTAGAATGCATTAAGATTCCTTCCTATTCTACTTTACAGCTCATTCACCATAATACTATTTCTGCACCTTGTCATGTCAATATCTTTCAACCAGAACAGAAACTGTTGCTTAGCAATGTCTGTTGCTTAGTTCCCACTCAAGTCTACTACCACAAATCTGGAATTTACAACAATAAGGTGCTGTTAATGGCTCAACTCCACATTAGAAAGTCTTTAAAAACCCACAGTTCCAAATATTTTTACTGTAGGAAGAGCGTATTCTTTCAAATAAAAAGGGCAGGATTAAAAACTTTACATGGCTTTTTTTAGAAAATGATGATATCTCTCAAAAAAGTGACTTTGTTCTCTCGAGGAATCTGTCTATAATTGATTGGATTGTTGCTGAAGACATGGGAAAAATTATGTAGGAATTAACAATTGATTCTCATAAAGAATAATGAAGTTTGATTTATTTCTAATAAGAGTGAAGCAGAAGAAGAAACAGCACTTGCCAGCCTTTTCTCTAAATATTCTTTTTGAGTTAGCAAATAACCAGTTGAAGCAGAAAATGGGGATTTTATCTATCTATGTCTATATACTACTAAAACTCTCATCATGACCTTAACTGGTCGAAATGGTACATCACAGGGCAACAATTTTTGAACTAATATACCTCAATTAGGCTTAAAGAATGCATCCAAAATCTGGAGCCCATGACTCAAGAAGGAAAGAAACTTAGGTAAGTTAGGAAAGAAATGCCTCAGTGCTACCGAAGCTGTTGTGGTCACATCATCTTCATTTTCAATCCTCTGTGACCATTTCATGAGCAAACTAAACCAAAATGTATCTGCTCAGAGACCAGTGGTTTGAAAAGTTATTTTTCAGCAAACTGAGTGGGATTTGTGTCATTCTTTGTATGTTTATTCAAAAGTCACTGTGTGCTTATTCATTTATGCAAAGAGCCTGGTGGGATTGTTAAAGTGCTGGCTTAGAAAGCAAGAGACTATATGAATTCTAGTCCTCTTGTTAGCCATGAAAGCTGACTGGCTGACTTTGGGCCAGGCTTCTTTTCTCAGCAAAACCTGAATTCATTGTTTTGGGAAAATAAGAGGTAATAGCTCGGGCCACCGCAAGCAGGCTGGCATAAAATCTCTTTCCCATTTATCTGTCAAATCAATTTTATTTATTGGATTTAGACAAATGGCACTGGATGATTTACAGGTACAATCAATAAAACCATATAAAAGACGTACACTTAAAAATAGAATTAAAAACAGGAAAGAGTAAAACATAACATTGTCACGACTTTTTATTTTAATCTCATTTTGCCCATGCAGTGTCAGACTTGCATATGCAAAGTTAAATTAAGTGGAGAATCCCCAACGATTCTCAGTAATTTTAGGACTCCTGATAATTATCGAAAGCAATTATTTATCAACCTTCTCTATTTCTATACATTTGGTTATGGAAAGGCAACTGATTTCTAAGAAGATGAGAGTAGGATGATATGTTAGTAGGATTGAAGTAGTCCAAAAATGGGATGGGGTGGAGAGACCTTACCAAAACAAAAAAACAAAAAAAAACCCACACAAATATAAAGCAAGCAAGTCTCTTATGGAATTTTCGAACTGATCAGCACGAAAACTCTGACTTAATCGTAGATTTGTAAAGTCTCCGAATTCCAGCCCGTTTTCTTAAAGTTCTCGCCAGAATTTATCGCTTCCGCTCTATGGACGAGGCTTTCGACGGCGGCTGCTTGGAGTCAACTTCATTGGAACGCGAGAGAAAAATGGCAGCCTCCTTAGAAGTGTGCCATGTAGCTTGCTCCGCTAACCGCGCCGGCCCCGGAGTGATCTCTTGGGGGAGAGGAACTCTATTGGCGTTCGGGTCCTGTCGCTCTGTCATTCTCTATGACCCGCAGGTGAGGCGTGGACGGAGGTCGAGGATTTTGGGCCGGAGGGCTTCTTCGCGTTCAGCAAGCGACCTCCCTGGACATGTGTTTTGGAGGCGTGGAATGGGATAGAGGCGCAGGACTGGAGTGGAGGGGAGGTTGATTCCTGCTTCTTCTTGGGTATCTTGGTGCAATTTAGTTGGTTGCATTCCCAGTAATGGGGGAAAGTGACTTGCTTTGTTTCTGCGTCTGGTGTTCTTAAAGGTACAACAGCTTTGGAAAGTATTGATTATAATGGAGTGAGTCTCCTGAACATTACTGGGTGCTGTTCTCTCCTTGTGTAATTGGTTGGGTATAGGGATGAAACGGTGGCAGAGACCTGGGACAGAGTTTATTGAATAAAGGGATAATAAAAACACAATAAAAGTTACAGAATTTTCTCAGGAGATGCATAAATGCCGGTGTAGCAGAACATTACCATTATAAGTTAAATTACAGGTTATTTTTGTGATTAGCAGCCAAACATCTATAAGATACACCCAAAAATATTCAGAAAACAAAATCCTTGTTTCCAGTGTTTTTAGCCAGGGATTTTTTAAATTGCTGCGGTTAGTTTACATAATGTTGAGTTGGCAAATCACAATATCCAGGTTTCCACTTGACACAAATCAAGACCCAAATAAACTGAATAAATCTGGTTCCTTATTTGTGAGTCATAAGCTGCCTTGGGTATGATTTATGATAAAATAGATAAATATTTACAGTAACAAATATGCATGTGTCAATCATCCTGAAATCTCTGTATGTATAGCAATGCTGCATTGTTTTTGCTTTGTTAATGCCTGATAGATGTAGAGAATTCCTAGTAGATTAAATATTTGATATTTTATTCAGTATTCTCCCAGGGTATTCTGACCATTTGAAAAAAAAAAGATACTATTTCAGTGTCTTTGCAGTTAAATTTTTATTTTTTCAATTATTTCTTTTTATTATTGGCTTGTATGTGTGTTTTTTCCTCTAGAAAAGAAAAGTAGTGGGAACACTGAATGGTCATACTGGGAGAATTAATTGTGTTAAGTGGATTCGCAGAAAAGATGGATGTGAGTACAGTATCAATGTGCATACAAAGAATTTTCCTGTTTGTAATGCTGCTGCTACTTTGTACCTAGAATAATAGAAAATACTGGTGGAGAATTTAAAATTTGTGTTCATTTATAAACTAAAGGCATTGTAAATAGGAACATTGAAAAAAAACCACGATAGCCTTGTTACATTGCACTCAGCCAAATTTCCATTGATATAAAAGCCATTCCAAGGTTTGGATTTGTTTGAGTAAATGCTATACTCGAAGAAATAACAAATATATATGTGTATGTACCCTGTTTCTCCAACAATACAGCCTCCCCCAATAGGAAATCCCAGCATGTTTTATAGGCATAAAATGAAATTAAGCCCCTCCCCCCAAATTAAGGCCTATATTAAAACATGCGAAATGGGGGGAATGGTGGTGGGGGGGCTTGCCATTAGGAAGTGCTTTTGTTGCACACCCGGATATGGTGCTGCCTGTGTTGACCCCGATACGAAGTGCCCCACCAACGCCGAGGTCAACATCCAAGCCGTCGCCGCCCGCCCGAAGATGCAAGGGGGGGGAATTAAGTCACCCCCGAAAAGAAGGCCTAGCCATTTTTGGGGGGCTCAAAAAAAAAATAAGACCCGGCCTTATTATATGAGAAACACGGTATGTATATGTGTGTGTGTGTGTATATATATATATATATATTAAATCTTATCACTGGAGGTTTGCAATCTGTTTCATCATATCAT